TCTACAATAGTACCTTTGCACCATGCACCAGGTCCGAGATCAATGAAGAACTTGAAGATGATACTTCCAAGGAGCGTAAGCTTTTGATGGCTTCTGATTTTCGCTTATTTAGGAGAATTTTGAATGGCATGAACCGGAATACCTGCAAAGAGGCATGTAACTAATCTATATATCGACTCCACATTTAGTTATAGTAGTTTAATTTATTCTTTTTCGGCGTTTTCATTCTTTTTTTCTTCCGTATATGATCTAACATCTTGAAACTATTCTGTTCTTCAGGGTCATGAGCCTTTTGTTTCGTACGAAGGTCTCGAGCAGTTGCATCGCTTCATTTTTGTCATGGCAATCACACATGTATCATACAGTTGCTTAACAATGTTACTTGCAATTGTGAAGGTTAGGCCCTTGAATGTTAAAAAAAAAAACACTCCTAAAGTTTGCAGTTGCATGTAACAGTTTTATGTTGATATTATTTGCTTCCGTCTTGATATGTAACTGTTTGGTAGATTCATAGTTGGAGAGCTTGGGAGGATGAAGCTCGTATGGATCGACATGATATACTAAATGGTAAGCTAAACTGTATATTATTGATAGGTTAGGATAATACTGTTTCTTTTATCATTTATGTTGATATAAGTTTCGGATGGAGAACCGATGCTGTGTATGTTGTTCTGTCTCTTCATTTTTCTTGTACCCATGTTTGGCACCCATTTTTGATACATTTTCGGACATGGATATGGGGATGTGATCCTCTACCATGTTAGACAGATACCAATATTCGACACCCACACCGCGTGTGATTTAAAAGGGTGCCATTACTGTATAGTTGCATTTATTAAATTTCTAAGAACGGATTTTGATGTTTCCATACATGTTATCAGCTGTTTTCGAAGTTATTAAAAAGATTCTTTTTCGAATTTTTATCAGAAAAAGCAAGAGAGTCGATAATGCGAAGACAAACAACTTTTGTCATAAGCCACACATCGAACCCTTGGACCAAAAACAGTCTTCTTATCTGGGTGGTAGGTGTCGAACATTTCTTCTTGCTTTGTTTACTTTGAACTTCAGATTCAATAATTTCATTGATATGCATTTTGTTGTAATTATTTGCATAATTGCCTTCAATTCTTATTTTCAACCTGCAGAAATGTTTCTTCCAGCAATTCGGGTATTCGGTTGTTCGTGCTGACTATCTCACTCTCCGTAAAGGCTTCATCATGGTGAGCAAACTATTTATGCTACCGAGATCTCAGTTCGTATTGTTCTTCAGCTTTCTTTTCTTCTTGTTTGGTGAGCAAACTCTATATGTAGAAATGTTCTCTCAGCACTAAATTGTTTCTTATCACTTATGAACATGTATGCCTTTTGTTTTTCATATTCATGGCAGAATCACAACCTGAAGTCAAAGTACGATTTTCATAGCTATATGATTCGTTCTATGGAGGAAGAATTTCAACGGATTGTTGGTGTTAGGCAAGTAATGTTTTCATAAAGAACATTCTCATTGTTTTCTCTGTCAAAGTGTCCCAAAAGTTTGTTTTTGCTCCAAAAGTGGGCTTCAAGGTTGAGTTGATTTGTGCATCGAAGATTGCTGAAGTTCTGTTTGTTAATATCTTGCAGTGGTCCGCTCTGGGGATTTGTTGTTGCCTTTATGCTGTTCAACGTGAAAGGTACCGTACATAGTAAATTGAGAATGAATTATTATGCTTCATAAGTATGTTTTCATGTTGTCACCTCTCAAGCAATCCACATTTTCGGGTTGTTTAAAGCGGAAACGTGTATGTAGGAATAACAGTTCTCATCTCGTTGCCTATCTGAACTTTTGAGTATAGGAATGATAGTTCTGATCTTGTTGCCTACCTGAATTTTCAAGTAGTGTGTCCTAACTCACTGGACTCATAATTCATTGGCTATTTTCCTTTCTTACAGGGTCTAATCTATATTTCTGGATAGCAATCATTCCCATTGCCGTAAGTCTTCTGCCTTTTCTTGTCGGTATTATTTTCGGCCTTCACTGTTTATGTTACTTGGACTTGAGTTCGAGTGACGGACATGAATATATGCCCAACACAAGCTAGGGTGATTCCAGTTGCCAAATCTTTTCGTGTTATTCTTATTTTGCATGTTCATAACCTCGTGTGCAGCTTGTTCTCCTTGTGGGTGCAAAGCTACAGCACGTCATTGCAACTTTGGCGTTAGAGACGGCTAATCTTACTGGCTCTTTTAGCAGACCAAAGCTGAGGCCTCGGGACGAACTTTTCTGGTTTAAGAAGCCGGAATGGTTGTTATCCCTTATCCATTTCATTCTATTCCAGGTGGTTGTTTACTGCAACGCAATCAAGTAAAAGACTGTTATTATTCACAACTGGCATTTCATCCGACTAATGTTCTCGTCTCATTTCTTTGCAGAATGCATTCGAACTGGCTTCGTTTTTTTGGTTCTGGGTATTTCTCTTCTCTGATCATTATCCAATAACAATCTCGATTATGCTTTTGAGTTGAACATCAAGCTCAACTTCGGTATTATATTCACGCTAATTACTTACGGTCTTTTGATATAATTGCAGTGGCAGTTTGGCTACGATTCATGCTTCATCCATAACCATACGCTTGTTTACATACGACTTATTTTGGGGTACGTGCATGTTTCTATCGAGTCTTGGTTTTATTTTACGGCTTTCACCGATCATGTGTCCTTACTTGATTCTGCTTACCTCGTAGGTTCGCCGGGCAGTTTATCTGTAGCTACATCACTCTTCCACTCTATGCTTTGGTCACTCAGGTATTGCATTTGTTCATTAACATCGCTTTCACACGGAGAAAACAATCGAAGCAAATTCGAACATTAAGAATCACCTGTATATAGAGAATTAGTTGCCGAAATCGCCACCTACTTTGGCCTTGAATTTATCATTTTCTCCGGAGAAGTTACTATCGAGCATGTGCTCATGCTCAGGGGAGTAGCTACATAACCCCACACCCCCAACAGACACATACCACTCCAACTTTCAGTGTTACTCGGTTTCAGATACGAGTGTCCGGTATAAATATTTATACGTTGTGGATGCGATCATATCCAACTGTCTTTTTAACTGCTTAAAAACAGTTTTTTGTAGTACATTTTACGGTATCAACTCTACATCAATGTCCGAACCAATCGTTTCAATAGAGAAAAACATTTTAACCGATGACTATGCATGCTGCATCTACTAAATCTCTGTTCTTTCAGATGGGAACAAACTACAAGGCGGCACTAATTCCACAAAGGATACGGGAGACAATCCACGGATGGGGTAAGGCAGCAAGGAGAAGGAGGAGGCTCGGACGTTTCACCGATGATTCAACCATACATACAGACACAAGTACTGTAATGTCGCTCGAGGAAGATGACCACGAGTGATTGATATTCACGAAGACGGCAACGACACATACACTGAGGTAGAGTTGCAACCTCCACCAAATGTTGCTGCATCCACTCCTTCCCCGGTTTTTGCTAATGAAACTTCAAGCCGGGTCGGTGCACCTTTACTTAGACCGTCGTCTTCTATTTCCGCGACGACCATCTCTAGTTTACAGAAGGAAGATTTCCAAAGATCATCTTCTATGCCTGTTAGAGAGAATGACACGGAAGTACAACGTATGTGTTGTAACGACTTTAGGTATAGGGTTAAAGACAATGACAAAATAATAATTCGTAGGTTATCCGATCATAATTTATGTTGTTGGGATTTTTCATTTTCCGTAAATTATTTTTGTTTTATATTCGTGTTCGACATATACTTATATATCGACATATGAAGGAATTGACTGTATATGACTGATCGGAAGTTTAAATTAATTATAAAATAATAATTAAATATATCAAATTATATAAAATGGCCATTGTACATTACAAATGAAAAATATTTTATAATCGTTTGAGTTTAATGATACTATTATAATTTCTAAAACTTTTAGTTTTTTTTTAAATAGTCATTTAATCATTAATAGAAAATAGTGTAAAAAATGCGACGGGTCTTAACTAGGATGAAACAGAGACTTGAGAAACCAGATTGATGAGCTGATGGACATGCATCACTTTCGACAATAAAAATCCCAATTCAATGATAAGACAAAAATGGAAACAAATAGCGTGAGATTCGATAGAATCCACGTCCCGAGGACAATCAATACAAAAAGGCCAATATAAAAACATCTGAATCTCACACCACCGCCCCTACAGCCATGGGTCCATCGGCACCATCAACATTTAACTCGACAAAACCCTCGCGCCAAAACCTTGAATGAAGAGTGTATTTAACCCTTTTTAACATGTTAATATAAATTTATCAATTACCTAAATTTTGAGTTAATGAATGGTACAAAATTAAGTAAAATAAATGGCAATATATCAAAAAATTTATAACACGTTGATCTTGAATAAACTTTCTAGACAAAACGAACAAAAACACCATATCGTTAAGAATTATGTACAATAGGTTTAAAAACTTCTAAGTATATAATATTTGTACGAACGTAATCAAAAATTTTAAGATCAAATTAAGCAAAATTTAAATAATGATCTTTAACAATAAAAATGTTAAGCAATTAAAATTTTATGTTATAAATTCTTCATGGAAAGAAAATCATTATGGGATTTTTTTTATAAAAATGAAATAAACTAGAAAAAAATTAATGTGAAATTCATGGTCAAATAAACACAAATTTGGTAATTAAAGATATGAAATTAAATAATATATATCTATTTTTTAATATTGGAAACTCTAATTTATTCATAAAAAATTTATGAATTCGCTAAATTCAAATTATTTTTTACATGAAATTAAAATTATAAATAAATAAACAAATATATATATATGTATGTTTTAAAATGTCAATGTAATGATGATTTATTAAAATACATATTATAGAACACATAAAAAATCAACAAGAATAAAAAAGATAATTAACCGACCGAATTAAGCATAAAAAATAATTTCTAAATCAGTACTTAATTATTCAATAGTTCTAGAAAACACCCACAAAGCTACCAAGTACCATACTCAAGAAGACACTAGCTGCTAAAACCATAACACTGGAATTAGTTGCAGTGGCAAATGCCTTTGCAGGAGCCACAGCCGGCTCGAACTCACTAGTCGGAGAGCCTATTTGTGTATCAGGAGGTGTCGATGAATCTATCGGTGATTGAGATGGAATAGCCTGTGGTGGAGCTGGTGGGTTTGAAGTTGGTGCCTGAATAGGACGATTGAAAGAAGGTGGAGTTGAAGCTTGGGGTGATGCTGAACGTGGAGATGGAGATGAAGTTTTAGGAGGATGTGTTGGGACTGAATATGGTGCAGATGATTGTTTAGGAGGTTCAGCAACCGGTGACACATATGTAGGACTAGGAGTCGAGGTTGTTGGCCCAGAAACTGGACCACGGTGATCGGGAGAGTGTGCAGACCATGGAGATGATCCAGGTGAAGCAAATGATTCTTTAGGAGGTGCTGCACCGGGTGTTGGTGATGTAGGAGCCAAGGCTGGGACTGAAACCGGACCATGATGCTTGGGAGAGTGTGCTGGCCAAGGAGACGGTCTTGATTCTTTAGGAGGTTCAGCCACAGGTGCTGTAGATGTAGGAGACAAGCCTGGACTAGCATTTGGACTGTGTTGATACGGAGAGCGTGTTGGCCCCGAAGAAGGCGCTACAATAGGACCGTGATGCTTGGGAGATGTAGGAGCCAAGGCCGGCCCTGAAACCGGACCATGATGCTTGGGGGAGTGTGCTGGCCAAGGTGATGGTCTTGATTCTTTAGGAGGTTTAGTTATAGGTGCTGTAGATCTAGGGGACAAGCCTGGACTAGAAGTCGGACCATGATGATATGGAGACTGTGTTGGCCTCAAAGCCGGCGCTACAACAGGACCGTGATGTTTGGGAGATGTAGGAGCCAAGGCTGGCCCTGGAACAGGACCATGACGCTTGGGAGATTTAGGAGCCAATACTGGCCCTGAAACAGGACCATGATGCTTGGGAGATTTAGGAGCCAATGCTGGCCCTGAAATAGGACCATGATGCTTGGGAGAGTGTACTGGCCCCAGGGATGGTCTTGATTCTTTAGGAGGTTCAGCTACAGGTGATGGAGATCTAGGAGCCAATGCTGGTCCTACTACACGACGACGATGACCGTGATGCTTGGAAGATCGCAATTGCCCTGCAGCATCAGTGATCGAGATATGGTTAAGAACACATTCAAATCGAAGCAAAGCAAGCAAACAGAGAACCAAAAGTCTTACCGAGGATGACATCGACCTGGAAACTTTGTCTAGCAGCCAACTCATTGCCACCAACGAAGAAGTTTCTATAGGCATCAGAGACAGAAACAAAACACCAGATGAACACCAAGAAAAGGCTGAGAAATTTCATATTGAAAGAGATCATATGATGATTTGTGTGATTAGCACACGGTTACATACATACATATATATATTACATGAATGTAGATACGTACAGAGAATGGGAAAATATGGGAAGAAGCATAAAAGAAAGCTCTTTAAACCCCAAAATTATGGAAAACTAATACTAAAGAGGTAATTTTTTGAATAAATGAAAGAATGATTTATGAAGGAATAGTGCAAATAATAGGAATTAAATTGATTTCATTGCCTTTTATTTTTGATAAAATTGCCATGTTTATATATAATTAAACCAGTATATCTTGGTCTAATTAATGCCTGTTTAATGGCATTGGATTTAATGGCCTGGTGTTGAACGTGTATCACCGTAGCTAGCGTACTCAGTACTCTGCCGAGACGAATCCAAGCGGATCGAGAAGAGTTTTCGCTTCGGTCACGGCCTTTAAGAGGTTTGCTTCGCTTGTTCTTCCACATCAACGCTTAGTGCAACGTTTTCCCTCCCCATGAGTCGGAATTGACGCGTGGTGTCGCCGAAACAGGCCATCATAACAATGTCTCCGACTCTATATCAATATAAGTCCGAAAAGATTATATCATTATCCGACTCAGTTTTTTAAAAAAAAAACCCAACCTTATCATATTAGGTTGAAATTCGTCAAGTACGAGTCTCATGTTTATCCTTAGGAAGTTTGACTCGAAAATTAAAGACTTTTACTCGATATAGACCCGCAACAAACTCATCATGTATTTTGAGATAAAAATTTGTTCGATCCAAGTTGATATGAATAATTCAATTTTATTCGACAAGACAGAATTAATTGAATATACATATAGAACGACTTGATATTTGTTTATAAAATAGTGTAATGCAAAGAAGTAGTTTGTATTACACATTGGTGAGATACAAGCTTGGTGAAAGATATATATACGGATCTTTATCTTTACTCATATTAAGTAATAAAGGAGGAAGCCCACAATCACAAGATTAATAGCTTTGTACCCTACTTATTGAGCTAAAACGAACTCTTAAGGATGATGATACATGAAAAACTCTAAACGAGTCGTATCGTAAACTTTTCAAAACAAACCATAAAATTCGAATCACCAAACTTGGAAATAATTGCATAAGGAACATAACCGTATATAGACACTAAACAATTTTAATGTTTTTTCATTTCAAACATGAGATAACTCTTGAATCCAATACCTTTAACGCTTCCCTAGGTTTGATGAAAATGGGGGCATGTATTGGTTCAAAGAAGCTCCTTGGGACACAAAGTAAGCCATCGGTGCCTCAAAAGTTCCTTGTTTTACAACCCTATTCTCCAAAGCTGCAATTATTTTGTTTCCTATACATTCTATAGGTAAAATGCAATGAATCTTCAATTCTAGAGCAACATTCTTCCATCACCTTTGGGTCAAGCTCTTTTTCATCGTTGCCTTCCTTTGCCTTAAGCTCCCAGAATATGACATAGTGGTCTGGTGTTGAAGATGTATCACCGTATCTAGTGTATTCTGTCAAGATGAATCCAAGTGGATTGAGAAGAGGTTTCGCTTCCATCACGGCCCTTAAGAAGTCTGCTTCGCTTGTTCTTTCCCCACAAATAGGAATTGAGGTGGATTGTTGTGGAAGCCTGTCACCATAAAAACGTCGCCAACTCTATAGCGATATAATCCTGAGAAGATTAGATCATTATCCGATGCGTTAATTTTGGCATTTGATTAAATTCATATTATGATTTAGTAGTAGGGAAGTTTACCTCTAGAACTCGTGACAAGTAGTTCATAACATCAAACAAGCTTCACATTTACAAGATCAACAGGTTTGGTATCTTCATCATTGCTCTTCATTTCTATAGATTCACTACCCGATTTTGAGATTCCGTAACACATTCTTCCTTTATCGGAACAAATTCATAATAAACTACATCAGGGAGAAATGTGTAAGAGACATAGACATCTGAAGGTTTACATAGAGGTTCTAAGTTTATCCCAAGGGCACCTTCCGAGCAACCATAAAAACCTGACACTAATGGGAGCCCTTCGCAATAGAAATCAAGTGCTTTAGTGTATTGAATCATAGAACCCCTACATACGGAATTAATGTACTTTGTTTTAGGCCATAGCTTTCTGATTATCCCATGATTTGCAACTACATATGTTTTCTATCAAGTCGGCCAATTCTGGATTAGGCTTCAAGATTAATGATGCTGCATTTCGGCATCCCAAGTCAGTGATCCGATCACTTATTTGACCAGTTCTTATATTAGGGCATAGCTCTTGCCAGTTATTTTCTAAAAACTTGAAACCTCTTAGAACCGTAGATGCGAAGAATGAACCAATCATGATGACCACATCTTGTTGTATTAAACCGAAAAGTAATTGACAGTACATGCTCTGTTTGGTGTCTGGGCAAAAGATAGTCTCAAAAGGGCTTGTGTAAAGTTTGGGCAGAAGGGCTTGAATACTCTTAAACACTCTTGATGAGACTGCGCTTGCCTTGAGGCCAGAAGGATTTTCAATATCTGGTTTGGCAAACATAAGTTCCATTCTTTTACCGGCTCCGTCTTTGTCACCAAAGTGCCTGTAAATAGATTAGGTAAGATTCAATACGGGAACATGAGACAAAGTCACCAATATTTCAAGACACCAACATAACACAGGATACTGATGTTAGTTTTTACTCGAACTCAAATGTGAACCAGATATGAGTAGTTAAAAAAAACAAAGTATTTGGAGGGTATTTGAAGAATTATATCACTGTACTTATGTCCAACTATCGAACATAGATGCTGTAAGTTTGGAGGCTGATTGAAGGTTGGGTGCCGGAGCTGGTGTGGGCAGTGACTAGGCTTAAAGGTAAACGTTCCTGTCCACTTTGCTTAAACTGGCCTGGAATGCATATATCTACAGAGTTGGTGGGAAAGGAATTGTAGGGTGTTTGGGGGTGGAAGGAAGGATGTCATGGACTTGGTTCGAGAAATCAAGGAGGACGTTAGGCTGCCGCTTGTGGGATGACAGGATGAAGGTGTTAATATCAGGCTTTGTATAGATTGGGGAATTGATTCATCGGGTAATGCTGTATAGTTGGGGTGGTAATGTAGTTTTGGTTTTGAGGTTGCAGGAAGCTCTAGTTTGTGTTATTAGTCAACTAGTACTTTGTATATTTGTGGCAGTCACTGCTTTCTTTGGGTAATGAAATTCATCATTCATCCAAAAAAATAAAATCTAAACCATATCCCTATACTCACGAGTCACATCCAGAGCTATAGATCGATGATTCTCTTCTTCAGCTCATTGATCAGATTAGTAAACAATCAATCAGTGTACAAATCAAATGATAAACTTCAATAAAATCGGGATGGGGAAGCTTACTTTGTCATCACAGACCGGTACAAGGTAACAAACGATGGCGTTAAGTCGACACTTTTACCAGTGACAGGTATCAGCTTTGGCTGCCCACCTGATGTCCCAGTACTGCATTTAATCAAACAGATGATAAACTTATTGAGAAGAAAAAAGAAAGGAAAAACACAAAGGAAAGCACACAAAAAACAAAGAAACCCATGCCTTAGAGAGAACCCAGTGACGGATTCAGCTAAAAGAATATTTAAAGATGCCTCCCCATTGGCTATTCTATCAATATAACTATAAGGCTTGAGATCTTCATAAGCAACAATGGGTACATTCTTTTTGAAGAGTAGCTTGTCGGTTTGGCCATGGAGGAACCGCCTCAAGTATTTCACCCCCCAACTGGTCCTGAATTTACTGGGCATTTGTGGTAAATTCCTCCAGCACCTTCAACCCAGCTTCATATTCATCGGTTGCATCAATTCTAAAACCGATCTCTGCTCTGAAAACGATAAGATATTCGAAGCTCTTCGTGTTTTATTATTTACGCTATGGAAACGGTTAGATAACGACATGTATAATGGCTATAGACATCAAAGGTTTTTTATTTTTAATCAAATTATATTTTTATTTTCTTAAATTTATATATTAGTTAGTTAACGTCACGTTAAATTTAAGCCGAACTCTGACATAAACTTGCACCCTCCAAAATCTTTGTAATAAAATATATAAGGATATTTACTTATATGACCCTCAAGTTTGTTTTAAATTTTATCCTTCATTTTTTGTCCCCTAAGTTTGATTTCCGACTATATGCCGCGCATATATAATATTTCTTATGCTTAGGGTTATTATTTCTACATATGTATATGAATATGCTTATTGTTACATCTATATGACATTCATTACAAAATGATTAAAATATTCTATATACTGTCGATAAATCAAATAAATAAATATTTTATGCTACATTCATGAAGTAATTTATGTGACGATATCCTCTTGGAGTTCTTGAACCTGATCTTGCCTAATCATTTTGCAGACAATCGCTAATCAAGATATTCAAGGGGTGATCAAAGTCCCCGGGTCATGGTAAGCAAATGCACTTGTAGCTTATCATCGACCTCCGCAATTACAACACCTCACACACTTGTGCTCTTAAGCTATCAGCTCTCCCAAACTTAAGGATGAAACCCTTGATCCATGCACCATTATCGTAACACCCTTAATCCGACTTGGAAGTTTGATCGAATAAATGATGTTACATTTAGACTCCGAAACAGTTCGGAGTCACGAATGGACACGATTCAGGCAATTATCAAGGAATTAAAGGCGTTAAACTAAGAAGGGATTGAATTGCAAAGAAATCATAATATATTGCAACATACGCAATTCGATTAAAATATCAAACATCGACGAACACACATGGAAACGGCGAAATATTCAAGTGATCACATAGGAGTTTTGGGGCTGAAAAACTTAGCTATAACTCTTGAATCCAATATCTCTAAGGCTTCCTTAGATTTGATGCAAACGGGCGTCTTATATTGGCTCAAAGAAGCTCCTCTGGATATGAAGTAATCCATTAGCGCCTCAAAAGTTCCTTGTTTTACCACCCTAATCTCCAAAGCTTCAATTATATTTTCTTTCCTATACAAT